AAAATTTTGCAGCCGGAGCTGGTCGTAACCCGAAAAGTTCGTTAACAGAGGCGTTCGTAACCCGAGGTTCCACTGTACTTGCTACTACCTCGCCAATTGCCACTCCTTGAAATTCTCATCTGGACCCATCATCCTCAATCGCGTTCCTATAGATATTTGGGGGATAAATGTTTAAGCAGAGCAGCTGGCGATTCTGGGTGCTATTATCCCAACCCAGCTGGATAGAACAGGTAAGGAAAGGTTGATACAGTCTTTTTATTTGTTTTAACCTTTCAACGCTACCCAATATCTGTTTTTTTTCTAGGTAAGAATGTCAAAGGCCGTTGGGTGACAGTCCCTCATTAGCAGTAATTAGAGGTTTAGTAACGCTCTGAGAAAGGATGAATTTCAAGCCAATTGTTTCATCCTTCTCAAACTGACATGTACAATTACTTCTTCAAAACTCTTGGCCACAAGAGATTCTGCAAACAAATGTGTTGGGGTAAGAGAGTTACTTCCTTTATTTCAAAGCTGCAGTTAATCTTCCTGGCATTATCATCCTCTTAGATCAGCCAGTCCTAACTGCCTGCGGGCGTTGCTGTTGGATACACACGAGTTCTCCTATTTTAAGACGAATCTTAATCTTTGCTTCAGACTCCAGGGTTTGAAAACTATTCCTTGGGAAGGTAAAAGAAAACAGGAACCCCAACAGAGCCTTTTTCAAAACCTTGCTGACAACTCCCAGTCTCTTAACTACACTTGGGGAAATGGTTTATTTGCAATAGGTCTTTGAAACCCAGAAAATAAAACTCTAGGCCACGCTAAGAAAAAAAGCATTCAATGAAGACGTATCGGAGAACTGCAATATCTTTCCTATTAATGTTATAATTAAGAATTGCAAAGGGAAAGGGTTGCCGATGGAAAAAAAGGATAACAATATTCTCTTATTGCATCTCACAGGATTACTGGAAATGAGTTTTTGAAAAGGAGTTTCTTTGCTTGTTTCTTCGTTACTAATTACTGTGTTAGATCCTAAACTTATTCATGCATATTCCCCCAGGCATTAGGCCAGAAGACTGAGCTAGCTCTGCTGGTTGATTGGTTTGGGATTTTTTTCCCCCCTCCGTTCTGGTTGGAATTATTTCCGCGAACTCAGACATTTGGACTGTTGATTTTTATTGTTGGCTTTAATTCTTGTGCACCAGCCAGGGTCATTGCTATGAGATGAGCGGCCATATAAATTGTTTAAATCGTTTTTTAAAAATGAATCATTTTTAAGTTCTCCATCCCATGCAGAATTAAACAAATAGCAACTAGAGTATTTTACTTTCCATATTATTTAATCCCTAACGATTTACAGTCTGCCATGGGTTTTAGCACTGAACATTTTGGGGTTATGCACAAAAACTGAATTGTTTCTCTTCCTAGACCACTTAAATAACAGAAAAACTCAGCAATTTGATCAGTAGATCAGAATACGTCTGGCGATGAGGGAAGGGCTGGGATAAAACATTTAGTTTACTTGTAGAGATCTCAGATTCAATCTGCACTGTGAGCTGGTTCTTTGGTTTTGAACGTTTAGATTCCCAGTTTATGTATGTTGCATCGTGATTTATGGTTTCTATTTCAATTAAGGGATTGATGTTTTGCCTGTTCTTAATCCAAGCTACAGATTAAGGGAATTGCACGCTGCTCGGAGTCAGTTAAGCTCAGGAAAAAACCAAAAATCCTAAATGAATAAAAATCTGCAGACAAAATTACAGAAGCTTCCTGTTTAGAATATCGCTGCCCGCCAGTATCAAGAACACCGAATCTGGATGTGCTGGGTCAGTTTTATTTCTTAGTGGAAAGTAGAGCTTTCTGAATTCAGTTTTCCAAATGTGCTTTGGAACGTGCAGATTGCCAACATACAATCTGTCTTGTCTACTTCACCTTAAAGCAGCTGCATCTTTTCCAGTGATCTTTTCTGCAGAACACATCCGAGGCATTGCATAGGCCTAATAAAAAGCAAGTTCCCTATTTTGCTACTATCCCTTTGCTCAGCCATTTCTGTAATTTTTGATAAAAATGTTAAACATTACGTAAGAACTCCTTTAAAATATGTGCCTCTGATACTTGAAACTTCTAGCAGTGAGGAGGCCACAGAAGCCAGAAGAATCCAGCATTATTTTCACTATATTTTCACAATTCAAAACAGATTCAATTCAGGCCTTCTCTACAAAGTTGTTGTATGTACAGCTAAATCACAATATTGTTAGTACTGTGCAGCCAATCTTGGGTAATCGTGTTGAGTAAATCAAGTTTACTGAGCAACATGTAGAAATATTATTAGTTGGATGAAAATTTAACAGAGTTCATCAAAACAGATAAAATGACACTTACAGATGTTCAACTTCCAAACAAGAACACCAGAAAGATATGGCTGAAAAGATGAGCTCATTTTTTTTTTCAATGGTTTCTAAGCTATCATTAACCATTTTATGGGTCAAGCCAACATAATTTTGCGTGTTCTCAGTTTCTCAGATTCAGCCGCAGAGAAATAAAGGCCAATGAAAACGTGGCTTTTCCAAAGCTGACAGTGGAACCACAGGGACCTATATATTTGTGATTATAGCTTTCATGATTCTTTGTAATCTATTATTTACTACTTTTATTTTTATATCTCTAAAGTTCCTAAAGCCTATTAGGACTAAGGCCATGGATAAATTGCACACGTGAAATAAATAAAATAAAATAAAATTTCTCTCTCTCATTTTTGCCCCCCATCCCACCCCCACAAATATCTCAGAACTAGAGAAACTCAGTTTGGTTAGCTTCATAACATGCTTCCCCAAACAATATTGCAACTAACTTGTAGCAAAAGTTGGCATCGTGCTTGTAATAACGGCACAGGTTCCCGTCATCAGGAGGGGTTGCACAGAAAAAAAGGGTTGGAGATAGGTTGTAACGCCCAATTTTGCAGAATTCGTCAATCTCCCGGGGAACTCCAGGCTCAATAGCTACTCGATCACCTGAGAGACCACAAGGATGTAAGAAGATGAGAAAGCAGAAAAAACGATCCACTAAAAAGCTATGGTATATCTAGGGGATCCATTCACAGTATCTTATCCTAAACAGATACTCCAAAGTATTAGGTATGTAATATTCAATGTTTATCTCCTGAAAGTTGATGAAATCTAAAAGCCCCAGAGCATTTTTAGTAATCATTGGAGCAGTCCGGTCATATGACAGACAATCAAGCTGAGATAAAAATCGAATGGCGAGAATTACCTATTGAGTTCACGGCAGAAGAGGGTGAGATATAATCTAGAAACTTCTAGATTTACTCTTCCTCTAGGCCCCACAAAATCACGTGGTTCTAGAATTAAGTTCTCATACATTCCAACCTGAGAAGGCAGATCTTTGATGTTTGCTTCAAAGAAAATGGCTGCTGTTCCCTTGAGAAGACTTCTCACATTTCACCCAAATGACATTAGGACACAGATAGATAGATGGACATACTACATTAATGGAAGGGAGAGTGGGTCTAAAAGCAGTATATAAACATTTCTGCAAATTGTGGTTGCCCAACTTTTTTTTTAAGTCAAGGGCTACATAATATTTTTGTGGAATGGTTTGGAAGTTTAGGGACAGAGAGAGGAAATATAGGGAAAGGGACAAGAAAGAATGTGGTACAGCCAAAGCAGTAAGTAAGTAAATAAATAAATAAATAAATAAATCTGCCCAAAGGAAAACCATTATTTTTCTTGACACTTTTTCACCTGATTTTAGTCATAAAGCCAACAATTCTATTTTACCTGTCCCAAATCAGTGGCAGTTGAGGAAGGAACTGGGAGACCCTTCCTCCAGAAGGGTACTGTAAATATATATGCAATCAATCCTTACTCATCAGATACTAACAGGAAAGATGGGCATGACTTGGGAACAGCTTCAGCTCACCTTTCTTTAACTTGGTTACTGAAGACCCTACTTTAATAACGGTTCCTGAAGCTTCGTGCCCTAGCACCATCGGAGCCTTCACCACAAAATTTCCAATTCGTCCATGTTGCCAGTAGTGGACGTCAGACCCACAGATTCCAACGGAGTGCATTTTCAAAAGCACTTCTATTACAGAAGAGATAAATCAGAGAGTGAAATCTCCTTCAGGAACCCCTACTGCTTACAGTATAAAGAGGGGCTGAACCCAGATTTTGGAAGCAGCAGAAATTTGATTAATTCATTCATCTAAATCCCTTTATTTATGTATTTAGGGGGTTGTACACTGCTGTGATTGAAACCAACTCACAGCAGCTTTCATGCCCTGTTTACCTAAATGAGGTTAAAAATTGTAGAGTTAGAAAGCCAGATAACAATACCATAGAAAACACTAGAGATCAAGAAAACTCAACTTTCATCCATTTCCAGATTATAGTAGTGAACAGTTCACCATATGCCTTCCCCTAAGGTCCACTGAAAACACCAGGTTTTGATGGCCTTTTGGAAACAGCAGAGTCAGGGACATCCAGATCTCAGGAGTCTATTGAAGGAATAAGTCTGGATCCAACCCAATGCCAAGAAAATTGCAAAAAGGCAGCTTATTCACAAAGATGTGTGATTATTTCTTAATTAATGAAGTGTGCAATGTTGAGTTTTCTTTTCCCTGGTCTTGCAAGAGATTTGCAGAATATTTCAGAGATACAGTTATCAGATGCAACCAACTTGGCTAGCCCTTGCCTAGATATTTTTCTCGCTCAAGTTACCTATCAAGTCACATCCTGTCTGAAATCTACCTGTCTTGCTACCTGTGTCCTATTTCTTCCAAAACCTCTGAGTCAAGCCATGGGGAAACTCCAGTTTACTGGACACTAATTCATGGTGGGCAGACAAGTGATCAAGGAAACTGGAAAGCCCATCATGTACAAGAGTCACACTTGTACATGGTTTTGCAATACCTGTACCAGTGCTAATGACTTCAGGCCATATTTTGTCGCTTCACACCTATGCAAGCTGCTAGAAACCTCTAGGCATGTAGTTTCCTAGCTAAACTCTTCATCTGGTTCATGTGGACACCCACAGCTCGGGCAGTCTTGTCAAAATAATCAAAGGAGCACTATGTAGAGAGTAAGAAAGATGACCCTGATGAAGAGATGCAGGTGTGAAACCACTCTCAATAAAAGTAGTTTTAGCCTTCCTCCAGAGTTGATCTCATGGGTGGTCTACCTAGTGGGGTTAACACACTATGCCCTCACGCTACCAGCTCTGTCTCTTTTGGACATTCGAAAGGTCCAAGCCAAGGGTATAATGTTGCTTTCATCAGACTGCCTGGTTTGACACACACACCCTGGCTGCAAACCCCACAGATCTGGTTACTCTCCTGCCTTAAAAATTAGGGAGTTCTTCTCTTTGGGGAAACTGGACCCCTGTTTGCTTCACTGTACTCCCTTCTCTGCCACTTAGCAGGTGCAAGTGCTATCTCCTAGGAAGACTACAGTATGTCTTTCTCACTTTCTCTCTGCAGAATATCTATTACGGTTTGAACCTCATCCTGGCAAGTAAACCAAACATTCTCTTTCTTGATCGCCAAGAACAAGTCATCCTGAATTCTCACCTTTCCCAAAAGGTCACAAAGCTTCATAGGCATGGACGCCCATCAGGAAGCACAAGGGAAGCAAATGACAATGCACGCATCATGTCACCATCATGTAAATGGTACAATCTAAACACTTGTATCAGATATTGTTGGCATGATGTCATGACAAGCGTCATCACTTGGACATCATCATGGCTTATAGCAGAAGCCTACTGTACATTATATGCTGGAAATGCAGACACTTGTATCATTCCGAACATTATTCCATTATGATAAAGCTGGTGGAGACATTTTAAGTGCCTCCTAACGCAAATGCTTCATATTTTTACATTTCACTGAACAATATTTACACTGAAGGATGTATAATAAATAACGGGTGAAGATACAATCTGACAAATGAATGAGACTGGCTTAGTAACTGTTCCTGGAACTAAACCGTCTCCATCTGGTGCCATTCAGATCTATTCAGAGCTTCCATCACTTCCTTCAACATGCCCATCGACCATACTAGCTGAGAATGAATTGGGAAGTGCTGATATTCCAAAAAGCGAACATCCCAACTTACCATTGGGACCGGGTTCAGGAACTGGTCGGTTTTCCTGAAAGAAAGAAAGAAAAAAAAATAGGGAAGGTTCAATTTTACATGAAACCTTAATGTTGCTTACGCCAAGATTAAATCAGCTAGTTTGCCCTGGAAATTCCTTGCTAGTTCAAGGATCAATGGGTATGAAGAATTCACTTCTCGTTCTACAATTAAACAAGCGTCTTTCCAGTGTCCTACTTGGAGGAACAATTTAAAAATATAAACTGTACGTACTGGTTTGTAAACTTGTGTTCATATTAAGATTTTAATTGAATAGCATGACATGATATGCATATTGTAAGCGTAGTTCTGTTCATAAGAGGTTCATAAATAGTTCATAAGATGACTTTTTCCCCCTCTTTCTCTTTCATATTAAAAAATTAAAAACCATCAGTAGAATTGCTTGAATGCAGGAAGGCTAGATTACAAAGGTAATCCCATAAAGTTGAATTGATTTATATATACACAATTACAAATAAGACAAGAAGTGCAGTCTTATCTCATGTTCTGTTCTTCACTTGTGCGCCAAGAACTTAAAATACCAATTCTTATTCTTCACCAAGAATAGGGGTATACAATTTTCATCAGGCTCTTGATTTTTTATTTTGTTTCTTGCAGCTTTTTAGAACAAGGAATGAACACTTGTAAAAACAACCTCTAAATAATTTACAGCTGAAGGGAGAGGATAGTAAAATCCCATACAAAAATTTTTCAATTGGCAGACATTCGTTTTTTTCAATTGTACATCACATTTTACAGGAAAGAAGAACTTGAAAGAGACAGTGCCAAGTAATGTCATTGGCAAATTCAACAAAGACTGAAATCGGATTCCCCTCTATTCCTCTAAAAACAAACTCCAAGCATAACCTAGAAATAATTTACATTTTAAATCTTCCAAGAAAATAAAGTCTGATACGGGCATTATTTAAAGATATTAAATTTGCATTAACTAAGAAAAAAGTGAGATAATATATCTGAAATGGTTGTACCAATAAAATACTAAACAAAGTCTGTTTAATGTTTAGCTTTGAGCAAACATTCTTTGATTCTGGGGATCAGATAAATGTCCCAGGATGAAAAGATCCCAATAGCTAAACAATCTAACAGTGGCAAAGTCCCCATTTTTTTGGCATGCTTCTTCTTAAAGATGGCAATCTACCCCCCCCCTTTTTTTTTTAGAATTTTGAAAACTCTCTCCTGTCTTTTATTGAAAATAAACTCCTCTCTTTTCGGCAAGTGAAAAGCAGCGTTCCACAAGCGGAAACAGGCTACTTGGCCTTTTCCTTAAAGTCTTCACCCTAAATCCCAACTCAGGATCCTCCATATTTTTAAAAGCAGACATTTACAAACAAATGCAATTCTCTGTATAAAGTTTTTGCAAAAATGTACCCTTTGGTAAACCAGACACAGACAGGACACATCCTTTGAACGAAGCCACGCTGTCATTTGTCTGCTTTTCATACGGCGCCAATACGCCATGTTTAAACCAGCTATGGTTTAGCACTATGGAGGAACCAGGTCACTGCCCCAAAGGCATTAGCAATGGGCCCCTTTTTTCCTGCTGATTCATCTTTTTTTTTCCAAACCAGGAAAGGCTATCTGCTGAAGGACAGAGAGCAACAGCAAGGGCATTTTGCATAGGTGTGGACAGGAAAAAAGGGAAAAACTGCAGAGGGGAAAAATGGCCCTTATTGGTGATTTATTTTAAAGCACTAGAAATGTTTGGCGCTGGACTAAGAGCAGCCCGCAACTGTGCAGAAGCTGCCTTTGAA